TAGATGTTATGGTCCAACATTATGATCACTGCCTTATAAAAATGGCCTTAATGTTCTTATTCTTCTTTTCCTATCACTCCTCCCAGCAAAATCTTACTCTGGTCAAACTCAACCCTCTCCTTTCTTCATTCACTTGTTCCCAACTGAAGGTTAAGAGAATACACACCCAGCCCTGGCCGGTGTGGCTCAGTTGGTTGAGTGTTGTCCCAGGCACTGTAAGGTTGCTGGTTCGATTCCCGGTCAGGGCACATGTCCAGGTTGTGGGTTCAGTCCTGGACCATATGGGAGGCAACCTATTGGATCTCTCTCTCTCTCTCTCTCTCTCTCTCTCTCTCTCTCTCCTTCTCTCTAAAATCAGTAAAAACATACTTTAAAATGAAAAAAATGAAGAGAACACACAACTGTGCAGATCAGTCTCATTCATGTCTACAAATCTCAAATGGCACAAAATGTAGCCTGGTAATTTCTTCTCCAACTCCCACCATCCTCACTGAAACGTTCCTGAGGTGGGAGCCAGCACGGTTGGTTCAAGGAGCAGGATGGATGGCGGGGAAGAGTAACAGGAGATGATATCAGAAAGGCTACAGGTGCCAGATCATACAGACCCTTGTAGGACATTGTAAGGACTTGGCTTTTATGTTGGTGAGATGGGGCACCACTGGCGGGTTTTGAGTAGAGCAATGACAAAATCTGATTTAGGTTTTAACAGAATCTCTCCAACTACTATTTTGAGAATAGACGGTAAGGAACAATGACAAAATCGTGGAGACAAGGAGACGGGAGATGATTACAATAAGCCAAGCAAGAGAGGCTGTGGCTTGGACCCAAGTGACTGTAGGGAAGGAGGTTAGAAGGGATCTGATTTTGCTATCTTTGAAGATGGAGCCAGCAGAGTTTGCTGATGGTTCGGATGTGGGTTGTGATGATAAGTGCAGGGTCAATGAGGACACCAGTGTTTTTGCCTGAGCAACTTTATGGCTGGAATTGCCCTTTACGGAGATTGGAAAGACTGTAGGAAGAGCAGGTTTGGTGGGTAGGAGTGAGAGGTGAGTAAATGAAGAGTTTATTGTTGGACACAGTTGAGTTGGAGATAGCTTTTAGATATCTCTGTTAGTTTCCTGGGGCTGTTGGAACAAATTACCACAAACTTGGTGGCTTAAAAGATTACAAATGGATTTTCTCACAGTTCTGGAGGCCAGAAGTTTGAACCCTACATGTCAGCAGGGCCATGCTCTAGGGAAGGGAATAATCTGTTCTTTTGCCTCTTTCAGCTTCTGGTGGGTGGTGGCATCCTTGACTTGTGGCCACATTGTCCCATTTCCTGCCTTCTCAGTCATATTACCTCTCTACCATAGAGGTAGGAGAGAATCAAGGGACTGGTGTTGGAAGCCAAGTGTCTTAGTCCATTTTGGCTTCTATAACAAAGTACCATACATTGGGCATCTTCTAAAGAACAGAAATTTATAACTCTTAGTTCTGGAGGCTGGGAACTCTAAGATCAAGGTGCCAGCAGAGTCAGTGTCTGTTGATAGCCCACTTCCTGGTGCATATACAGCCATCTTGCTGTGTTCTCACCTGGTGGAAGGGGCCTATTTACAAGGGCACTAATCCTGAATTCATGATTACACCTCCCAAAGTCCCCATCTCCAAATACCACCCCATTGGGGATTAAGTTTCAACAAATAAATTTGAGAGAGGACACAAAATTCACTCTATAGCACACCGAGGCGTTCAAGGATGTGGGGGACTTTGTTTTTTTATTTGCCTGGGGTCCAGAGGGAAAAACAGCAGGCTTCAGGAGATGGAGTCAGAACAGGGGAGGATGGTGGGCATGAGGATTCAAGTCTGGGGGTGAGGGGAGGCCTAGGAGACCTGAGCTGAAGGGTTCAAGCACCTGACTGTGGTCTCAAGGCAGATCATGATGGTGAGGCTGTGAGTGTTGGGGAGAGGGAGGGATGGGTTTTTGCCTGGAGCATCTTCTTCCCACATTTGATACTTCAGCAAGTTGATGGGCTCTAGGGCATGCGGTTCTCTAATGGTTAGAGTCTAGTAGACTGTGGAGTCAGATGATCTTGGTTCAAATGTCCTTTCTTGGTGACCTTAGGCAAGTTACTCAAACGTTCTTTGTCTCCATTTTCCCCTCTGTAATATGGGACCAAGAATAGTACCCACCTTCAAGGGATTTTGTGACTAATAAGTGAGTTAATACGTGGAGGATGCTAGAAGAATGCCCTTTATATAATGGGCCTTATTTGTTTTTCAGTCTTGATAAAACATATCCCAGATCTTCTACTCTCTGTCTCCATTATTCCAACACTAGGCCAAGCCAGCATCATCACCCACCATCATTGCTGGGTATTTTGTTTCCACTCCCCACTCTAACCCACTATCACAGTGCAGCCAGAGTGATTATTTTGAAATCGCACATCAATCCATGTTACTCCTTTACTTAAAAAAATCTTCCTGTGAGCTCTCACCCATGGCATTTACAATAAAGTCCCAAATCATTATTCCTGGATTGCAATGTCCCTCACCATCTGGCCTTCCTCTCCACCTCGTTTCCTCACCCACTAATACCCAGTTCGCTCACCTTTCTCTTCTTTAACATGCCAAGCACACTCCTGCTTTGGGCTTTTGCATCAGCTGTTCCCTCTACCCCAGATTATTCTTTCCCCTAGTCCGTGCCTGGCTAGATTCTTTTTTTTTTTTTTAAAGTTGGATTAGGTGTTGCTTCCATTATTATTTTTTTAAATATATATATATTTTTATTGATTTCAGAGAGGAAGGGAGAGGAAGAGAGAGACAGAAATATCAACGATGAGAGGGAATCATTGATTGGCTGCCTCTTGCACGCCCCCCCACTGGGGATCGAGCCCGCAACCTGGGCATATGCCCTTGACCGGAATCGAACCCGGGACCCTTGAGTCCGCAGACCGATGCTCCATCCACTGAGCCAAACCAACTAGGGCCTGGCTAGATTCTTCTTGTCCCTCAGATTTCAGCGGAGACCTTCCATGACCCCCACGTCATGTGGCCTCTTCTCATTCAGTTTGTTTGTGCCTATTTTAATTCTCTGCGTAGTACTTACTACCCTTTGCATTTCCTTGGTTTTGTTTATGTCTGTTCTACTTTAGAATTTTCCACAAGGAGAGGCTAAGACAAAGGTTTGGATGTTGATGGTTTATTTGGAAGATGTTGCCAAAAGAAGGGGATGAGGTTACAAGGAGGATGAGACAGGAAGGGTGCAAAGTCAATGTAAGGATGTCATTGTCGGATAGGAGCAAACTTTCTCTACCTTCAAGGTTCTTTTGGCTGGCCTAATAACCATATAGACATGAGACAGATTAGCAAGAGAAAATAATTAAGTTTAATACATACATATGTATGGGAACCCTGCATACATGAGAGAGTGAGAGACAAACACGCACAAGAGATTCAGAGACAAAAAGGGAGCATGGGTACATAAGGCATTCTGAGCTAGGGATGAGGCAAGGTGCCTTGGGGATCATTGTAGCATGATAAGAGCAGATACTTAGTAAATAGAAATTTTCCCTGCCATATAGGTGGCTCAAGAAGAGATGATGGCCCTGGCACATGATTTCTTGAGATGACTTGCTTTGAACCCCACATTATCAACCTCACTATTGGAGGGGAGGGGCTTTCTCCCACCAGGACCTCTGGGAAGCACCCACAATGCCTCCCAGAGTTGTCCTGTTGAGAGATGGGAGGCTGAAGCCTTTATCCACCCGTGGACAGCCCCTGGTAGTGGAGGGCTGCTTCTGGGGCATTCATTCCCTGACTCCCAGGCTGTGCTTGTCTGAGGGCCAAGCTAATTCCAGCTACAAGGCTGCACTGGAGGAGGTTCTGGCAGCCAGAGGCCAGGCCGCACTTCCCAACACAGCCGTGGCCAACTCGGAGGTAGGCTGACCCCCGGGCTGGTGCTGTTTGCTGCCTGACCCACTTCCTCCGCTAGAGTGTAAGCTCTTGGTGAGTGGAGACTGCCACTTCTCTTCACTATTTATCCGAAGAGCCTAGCACAGAGTCTGACAGAGTAGTATCAGCAAACATTAGTTACAGGAACCTAATCCTTTCATCACTCTGGGGTAGGTGCTGCTGTTGTCTTCATTTTTAGATGAGAAAATTAAGACTCGGTCTTCCTTACCTGGGTCGCCCAGCTCACTGGTGATATGGCTGGAATATCAACCCAGGCAATCCAACTCAGCTTTGAACTAAAAGAAATTACTTTACTGGAGCTATCGTTACTGAGGAATGTTATTAGACTTGATCATCAAATTTAGCACTGGCCATGTAATGTTTTCAGGTACTTTTTAGAGGTTGCCTTACTTACATGGCATAATGGCTTTCCTGTTGTATTAGACTGTCATTTAGATGATTAATAAGAATGGAAATGGATCAAAGGCCTTGCAGGGTAAGAGAAATCCTTGCATCTGGCCAGGCTTGATCGAAGGTTCCTGGTGGAAAATGGAGAGCACATGCTCCATTGAAAAGATCCTCTATGAGATGATGTATTGCAGACCTGAAACCTATATAATTTTATTAACCAGTGTCATCCCAATAAATACAGAAATAAAAATTAAACAGAGCCTTTATTGCAGCCCACAGTTGGTGCCTTACAGCAGGGTCGGCAAACCTGTTTGTGTAAAGGTGCCAATAGTGAATAGGCTTTGTGAGCCATATAATCTCTGTGGCAGCTGCTGGCCTCTGCCATTGTAGCTATGGACTATGCAAACAAATGAGCGTGGCCATGTGCCAATAAAACTTTATTTACAAAAACAGGTGACAGCCCAGATTTGGCCCACCGGCTGTCATTTGCCTTATGGGAAGGCAGTAGTCCAGATCTTCTGATTCTTCAAGAGCAGATAGAAATCAGGATTTTATGTGAAATTTCCTAATTCTGAAAACATCGTATAGGCCACCAGTTGGCGCTCACTAATTCAGCAACTTGCCCTATTGCCTCGGAGGATGTGGAGGATGCTATGCCATCTCGGTTTGTGTAAGTGCACTCTATGATGTTTGCACAACAACAAAATCGCCTAACGATGCATTTCTCACAATGTGTCCTTCCTTAAGCAACTCATGACTGTAAGTGAGAACTTCAGCCTTCAGGTGCTCAGAACTAAAACCTCTGGGTCTTCCTGATTTCCCTTTTCACACCCCACATCTGCTCCATCAGCAGAGCCTATCAGCTCTAACTTCCAAATATGTTCACAATCTGGCCCCATCTCACCTCCTCCACCATTTCCACAGTGAGCCTCCAGCTGGCCTCCCTTGCCCCCCACTGTCTGTGTACCCAGCCAAGGATACCACCATGCTAATAACACGTGAGTGCCTGGTGGTGGGAAGAGGGTGGGGTTGCTCAGGTTCTTAACATTTTAATCATGTTTTAGTAGCATTACAAGCAGAGTGATACTTGTGTAATCAAAGCATTTTTTTTCTTCAAATATGTGTTTATTGATTTCAGAGAAAGGAAGGGAGAGGGGGAGAGAGCTAGAAACATCAATGATGAGAGAGAATCATTGATTGGCTGCCTCCTGCATGTCCCACACTGGGCATTGAGCCTGAAACCTGGCATGTGCCCTGATGGGGAATAGAACCTCCTGGTTCATGTGTCGACGTTCAACCATGGAGCCACACCGGCCGGACAAAATATTTTTAAATAGACGATTGTCCAGCACCCTCTCCCACACCCCAGCCTCAGCCTCCCCAGGTGCACGGCTGCTACCTTAATCCTCAGCTCTTCAACCCTGGAAGCTTTGGGAGCCCTTCATAGTAGGTGACCTCCAGGAGTCCCGGGGTCTGAGAAAAGCAGTGCCCTGCTGCTGACAGCCAGGACCTCCTCGCCTGAGGGGAAGGGTCCCATGGGCAGCCCCTGGCAGGCTGTCTGGTTGCTTTTTACTGTCCGTCTCGGTTTCCTTCCTGTTCATTGTCAGGAGGGGAGCAGGCTCAGGGGCTTTGAAGTTAATGGCTGCTTTTATTTCCTCCTCCTGGAGTCTGGGGAGCTCTTAGGGTCTCGCTCCATTGTTCCTCACAGAATCCTGGTCAGGCTGGAAGGCTCCTTATCGCACACCTATTCCAGAGTTCACCAACTAGGGCTGATGCTGGGTGTGGCCACAAGGCGTTAAAACAAACAAAAAAAGGGCAATGCAGGAGATATCTCGATTTATTACTTCTTTGGAAAGTCTAGCAATCTGGCAATAAAGGGCCCAAATTCTGACCGTCAGAGGGGCTGAGAAGTGGCTCCTCACTTTGGCTGCACCAAGAGCTTTCTGGGTGGCCACAGTCCTCACACTCCCTACTGTCCCTGGCACCTTGGTTGGCATAGCCATTGGCCATCAAATATGCGCTTGTATGTGCATGTGTATTCAGTTCATGTAGTAACAGTAGAAATGCTGCACAAAACTTACACCACATCTACGACAGCCCTATTTCCAAACAAGGGCACATTCTGACGTACTGCATGGTAGGCTTTCAATATATCTTGTTGGAACGACACAATTCAACACATAACAGAAGGCAGCAGCATTCTAAGAAACCGTTAATGTGAAGCATTAAACCCAGCGCCAGGCCTTTCTATGCACGGGCCTGTGAACTAGCCCCTGGTAGAGGGAGATTTATTTTTTATTTATTCCTTTTGAAACTTTAACATTTTTTCTTTTATTTATTTATTAATTTTTAGAGAGAGAGAGGAAAGGAGGGGGGTAGAGAGAGAGAAACATCAATTTGTTCTACTTATTTATGCATTCATTGGTTGATCCTTGTGCACTGACTGGGATCAAACCTGAAACCTTGGTGTATTGGGACAATACTCTAACCAACTGAGCTACCTGGCCAGGGCTCCTTTTGCAGCTTTTTGATTTTATACTTTTTTTTTAATTGAAAAAAGTAATATCGGTCAACTTTATAAATGTCTTAGGCTTTGAGTTCTATTCTGTTAAAATGTTGCTTTTTCTATTCTCCCTGCCTGGTCCTCAGACCTAATTAGTAGAGTTGTATCTCAAGAATTTCTGGGCAAGGATCATAAAGGATTGGGCCAATGTTCCCTTGACTTTGCAGAAGACACAGGTAGAAACAGCTTAAAAGGATGGGCTTTACCAGCGTGGTAAACAAGGCTTACATCTAAGTTTATGGCCCAGATGTCGTCCTTCTGTCCCTATAAACAGAGCCAGCCTTCATGCTTTTGGCCCTAATGGAGCAATGCAAACCATTAAGACAGCAAGGAAAGACGACTCCAAGTGTATGCCTCCACTTCCCCTGAAAAGCTGGGTGCTTGAAGAATCACATCACTGACCCCCCTGTCACCCGGGATGTTTGCAGCAGTGGGGTTACGGCAGCAACGGGCTGGAAACCACCTAAACGTCTAGCAAAGGAAATTGGTTACACATATCATGATGGAGCTATACTCTGAGACTCTAGGATAACTGTGCAGCTCTGTGGGCACTGCCGTGAAATGACTAAGAGGAAAGAACAAGGTGCAGACAGATATGCACGGTATGCTATCATTCGTGTAAAAGGAGAACAGGCATGCATGTCCATCTGGATAAATGCATAGGTCACTTCCGGAAGGACACACAGGCGCTGTTTATCCTTAGAGAGGAGAATGAGGCCTGGGATCAGGGTGAGAACATGTCCATTTATTATTTAAATATATTTTTATTGATTTCAAAGAGGAAAGGAGGGAGAGAGAGAGAGAGAGAGAGAGAGAGAGAGAGAGAGAGAAGAGAGAGAGAGAGAGAAACATCAATGAAGACAAAGAATCATTGATTGGCTGCTTCCTGCACACCCCACACTGGGGATCGAGCCCGCAACCTGGGCATGTGCCCTGACCGGGAATCGAACCATGATCTCCTGGTTCATAGGTTGATGCTCAACCACTGAGCCATGCCGGCCATGCCAAAACATGTCCATTTAGCCGTATATATCTGTAATGTGAGAGCTTGTATTCTATGAGAAAAACAAAAGAATAAGGAAAATTGAAGTGAGCAGTTGATAATATTAGTTTGACTTGTCCTTGGAGGAAGGTTGGAAATGTCGTTGGATACCTGGGAAAGTTGTAGTTAGGTAGGGTGGTCTTGATCTAAATGTTTGGTGCCCAAGACGTGAGCTTAAAAGATGGGTTGGTAATGGCTCATAGTAAGCACTTGATAAAGGTTTGTTTTTGAATGAAGGAATGAACATACAGATACTTCTCAGGCTAGCTGGGGATTGAGTGGGTGGGAGAAGTAACTTCAGTCACACTGTCCCCGGCTGTCCACCAGAGGAAGCCTCTCCTGATAAGGGCACTGCCCCCATTCCACCTGTGGATAGTGACTCACCACCAAAAACATCAGAGCAATTAAAATTACTGGGGCAACACTGGTTAATAACACTCTATAAACTTCAGGTGCACAACTTGATAATGCAATATCTGTACACTCTATTGTGGGCTCACCACCCAAAGTCTAATTTCCCAAACATTATTCATTCTCCTTCAGTCGCATCGTATTTGACCCCTTTACCCTCTTTGTCCTCCTCCCCATCTTCCTGCACAATGTATTTTTATCCTTCAGAGATCCTGGGAAAATGAGACTCCTAAAAATGATAGCCAGAGGACTGGAGAGGATGAACAATGTTTAGTAGAATCTTCAAAACAGTTCCTGGGGGAAAATAAAACGAAGTTTCTCCCTCCCTCTCTCACCTACCAGAACTTCTGAGAGGACTCCAAACTGGTGAATAATAAAGGGCTTTCTTCATTCAGTGCAAGAAAGAAATAATACAGCTATGAAAAAATAAAACAGCACCGCGAGTTATGTGACTCAGTGAAGGCCACACTAGTTAAGTCTATCATGTGATAATTTTAAAACAGCATTCATTCTTTTCTGATTATGAAAGTGACACATGTTTCTTGCAGAAAAATTAGACAATGCATATATTCTAGAATAAAAAGTAAAATAAAATATCCCATAATAAAAAAAGTATCCCATAATACTACCACTCTGATTACAGTTAATATTTTTATGGCCATTCTCCAGTTTCGTGTGTGTGTGTGTGTGTGTGTGAATGTAGTATAATTGGGATCAGACTCTAACCTTTTTCACTTAATATATTGTGAACAGTTTCCCAAATCATTATTCATTCTCTTAAAAAAATGTGTGTTTTTTAAAGGGCTAAGTCATTATTTAACCAGTCCCTATTCTAATAGCTCATTATAATAAAAAAGCATTGTGATGAGACCCCTGTAAATAGATCTTTATACTCGTCTTATTTTTTATACAATTCTTTATTGTTGAAAGTATTTCATATGTCCCACTTTTCCCCCCATTAACCCCTTCCAGCTCTCCTGCTCCCCCCTCCCCAGGCCTTTAGCACCCTATTGTCTATGTCCTTGGGTTATGTCCTATGTGTCTTTGGTTGATTACCTCCCACTCACCCATTCTCCCCCACCTTCCCTCTGATATTCCACACTCTGTTCCATGCTTCCATGTCTCTGGATCCACTCTGTTCATCAGTTTATTTTGTTACTTAGATTCCACATGTGAGTGAGATCATGTGAGTTTATTTTGTTACTTAGATTCCACATATGAGTGAGATCATGTGATACTTGTCTTTCTCTGACTGATGTATTTCACTTATCATGATACTCTCCATGCTGTCTCAAAAGGTAAGAGATTCTTCTTTTTCACTGCTGCATAGTATTCCATGGTATAAATGTATCACAGCTTTTTTTATCCACCCATCTACTGATGAACACTTCGGCGATTTCTAGATATTAGCTATTGTAAATTGTGCTTCTATGAACAGAGGGGTGCATACATTCTTTCTGATTGGTGTTTTGGGTTTCTTAGGATATATTCCTAGAAGTGGGGTCACTGGGTCAAATGGCAGTTCCATATTTAATTTTTTGAGGAAACTCCAAACTGTTTTCCGTAATGGTTGCACCAGTCTGCAGTCCCACCAGCAGTGTACAAGGGTTCCCTTTTCTCCACATCCTCGCCAGCACTTGTCATTTGTTGATTTGTTGATGGCAGCCAGTCTGATAGGTGTTAGGTAATACCTCATTGTTGTTTTAATTCTATCTCTCTGATCAGTGACTTTAAGCATTTTTCATATGTCTCTTGGCCATCTGTATGTTTTCTTTGGAGAAGTATCTATTTAGGTCCTTTGCCCATTTTTTAATTGGATTGTTTGTCTTCCTTTTGTTAAGTTGTATGAGTTTCTTATATATTTTGGATATTAACCCTTTATCAAATATATCTTTGCCAAATATGTCCTCACATACAGTGGGTTCTCTTTTTGTTTTATTGATGGTTTCTTTTGCTGTGCAGAAGCTTTTTATTTTGATGTAGTCTCATTTATTTATGTTCTCCTTAGTTTCCTTTGCCTTAGGATACATATCTGTAAACATTGCTATGAGAGATATCTGAGATTCTTGCTGCCTATCGTTTCTTCTAGGATTTTTATGGTTTCATGACTTACATTGAAGTCTCTTATCCGTTTTGAGTTTATTTTTGTGTATGGTGTAAGTTGGTGGTCTAGTTTCATATTTCTGCATGTATCCATCTAATTTTCCCAACACCATTTATTGAAGAGACTCTCTTGATTCCATTGTATGCTCTTGCCTCCTGCATCAAATATTAATTGAGCGTGATGGCTTGGGTAGATTCGATTTCCGGGTTCTCTGTTCTGTTCCATTGATCTATATGTCTGTTCTTGTGCCAGTGTCAGGCTGTTTTGATTACAGTGGCTTTGTAGTATAACTTGAAATCTGGTATTGTGATTCCTCCAACTTTGTTTTTCTTTCTCAAGATTGCTCCAGCTATTCAGGGTCTTTTTTGATTCTATATAAATTTTTGGAGTATTTGTTCTAGCTCCGTGACATATGCCGTTGGTATGTTAATAGGGGTTTGCATTGAATCTGTAGATTGCCTAGGTAGTATGGACACTTTAATGATGTTGATTCTACCAAGCCATGAACACGGTATATTCTTCCACTTGTTTATATCTTCTTCTATCTCTTTTTTCAACGTCCTGTAGTTTTCTGAGTACAGTTTTTTGCCTCCTTGGTTAAGTTTATTCCTAAGTATCTTAATTTTTTTTGTTGCAATGGTAAATGGGATTATTTGTTTAGTTTCTCTTTCTGAGAATTCATTATTGGTATATAAAAATGCCGTCGATTTTTGGGTGTTGATCTTGTATCCCTCATCTTATTTTTTTAAACTTCCAGATGCAGAATAGTTGGAGTAAATGATACATTTTTTAACTTTTTGAGTTACACTGTCTTTCAGAAAGATGGTATTAATTTATATTCCCAACAACACTGTATATTTGTCAGTCCTGCACATTATGTTTATAGAAATATTTGCCAAAGCTGTACCCCACTCTTTCTAAAAATACTTTTAATGTCTTTGCTAGTGATTATGAGCATTTAAAAAGTATTCATTCTTCCATGGTGTGTGGGTTCATCCGTTTCTGCATTTGGGGTGTTAGTGTTTTATGTTTTGATTTATAAGATTTATATAGTAAGATCAACCTCTGCCACATTTGTTAAAAACGTTCTCCAATTTGTCATTTGCCTTTTTGATGATATTTGATATATCTGTCTTGCATATTTATTCAAATATGTATATTCATCCTGCCTATGGTTTCTTCCTATGCGTTAATATCTGGGCCTTCTCCTCTGAAATAATTCACCTATTTTCTTTTAATTGTCTTGTGATTTTTGTTGTTGTTTAGTTCTTTGGGTTTGAAAAGGTTAATTCATATACAGTAGTCCCCCCTTATCCACAGGGGATACATTCCAAAACCCCAGTGGATGCCTGAAACTGCAAATACTTCTGAATCCTATATGGATTATGGCTTTTTTTATGATAAAGTTTAACTTATAAATTAGGCACAATAAAAGGTTAACAATAACTAATAATAAAATAGAATAATTATAATAATATACTATAATAAAAGTTATGTGAATGTAGTCTGTCTCTCAAAGTATCTTATTGTACTGTACATACAGGGTGGCTACACTGGACAAAGGGATGATTCACATCTGGGCGGGATGGAGTGGGATGGCGTGAAATTCCATCACATTACTCAGAACAGTGAGCAATTTAAAACTTATAAATTGTTTATTTCTGGAATTTTCCATATAATATGTTTGGATTGTGGGTAACTGAAACCATGGATAAAGGGGGACCACTGTATTGGGATCCACAAAATGGAGGCCCCACCCACATCAGAAATCTAAACCTAAGTCAATCTGAACTTACAGGGAAACACTTTCAAGGAAACCTAACATACGCCAATCACAACCGTCCAATTCAGCTTTAGCTAGCTTACCTTACTCTAGAAAATAGGACCTCCTAGCCTTATAATGAAATCCCAATCTCCCAGGCAATCATGTGTTGCCTCTTTTAACATTCAGTAAGATTGGCCCTTGCCCCAAATCCCATGGGCCCAGTGCTCCATTGCTTGTGAGGCACAGTTCTCCTCCCAAACCATGGATTGTTTTCCCTTGCATAAAGGGCATTAAAGTCATTGCTAAATTGTTTTAGTTTTGTCATTGGACAGCATCATATATTGATTTTGGTAATGGTTTAAATAAATTCTTGATTGTGTGTTTCCCCTTCCCCAATTAATTTCCCCAGCCGAACTTATTGAAGAATTTTTCCTTTTCCCACAAAAGCGAAATGCCACATTTATCATATGAGTAATTTTAAAGTTAGTTGTATATGTTTCTAGGCTTTCAATTATTCCACTGATGTTCATTCATCTATTCTTGTATCAACACCACACTGTTTCAATGATAGCTTTGCAATATGTTTTAGGATTTGGTAATATAGATCTATCCCCCCATTTTAAAAATATCTTCGCTTTTCTCACAGATATTCTTCCATTTGAGTGTTAGGAAGTTATGTCATCCCTTTCCCATCCACCCACTACCATTAGAATTTTATTGAAAGAGTTAATTTGGATGAAGTTGGTAGTTTTGCCTTCTATTTCTTCGAGCCTTTCTTAGGTTTCAACTTTTATAATTTCTTCATGAAGAGTCTGCACTTTATAGGAGGTTTATTCCTAGGTATTTTACACTTTTATGAGAGTTCCTAATTTTTCTGTTTACATTAAAACTGCCGTTTAAGCTCCCATTGAAGCGTACCAAAGGTGACTTTAAATTTTTTCCCAGGTGGGTATCTGCTTGCAGGAAACCAGTCAGAAGCTAAAGGCTCTTTAGTAGCAGCTACTTACTGAGTGTTCGTTCTACACTTCGAATGGCGATGGTCCCTTTACACGAACTGTCCTATTTAGTGATAGCTATCTCCAGCATTTTATACAGGAGGGTTCCCAGGCTGAGAGAACAGTGAGGAACTTGGCAGGAATCACCCAGCTGGTAGGTGGATTTGAAACAGGTCTGTGACTCTCCAAGAGTATCACAAAAAACTATCAGCCAGAGGACGCCAAGGCTGTGCCATCAGAGGCCCGGATTCAAAGGCGCGCTTTTTCTAAAACAATCAACTAAGTTACGAAGACAATGCTTTCCACCCACCTGGCCCTCCCGAAGGCCGGGTTTTCCTGCAGTGTACCGGGTGGATGTGCACTCTGCAGTAGCACAATAAATACTAGTTGATTGACTGAGACTCTTTTAGAATTAGGAACTCGTGGATTACCAAGAATTGCCTTTCTCAGGCTTTCCCAAGTGTCCGTTTGGAAATCTACCTCCCTATCGCAGGACAGGTCTCCCCTCCCCCCAAAAATAGTCAAGAAGGAAAGGAAGGAAGGAGGGAGGGAAGGAAACAGAAAAGAGAGGATAGAGAAAGAGAGAAAGAGGGAAAGAGAGAGGAAGGGAGGAAGGGAGGAAGGGAAAAAAGAAAAAGAAAGGAAAGGAAGGAAGTAAAGGAAGGGAGGGGGAGGGAAAGGAAGGAAGG